GTGCCAGGTACTGAGCCTGCAATCCTGGGAAGGAGGCTCTTGGGCCTGCAGGAGGAGGGTGACTGGGAAGTCTCAGTGTGGTGGCTCTGCCCTGCTTGGAGACAAGTGTTTTCCTGGGGCTGCGAGGAGTCATGGGAATGTGCAGAGGCAGCAGGAAGTAAACAACAGATAGACGGACGGATTTCGGGCTTAGGAGAAAAGGTGAAGTAAGATTAGAGACTGATAAAACAATTCGTGTGTGATAATGACTGTGGAATTGTTATTGATTCTCTGAGACAGAGACAGCAGGAGGCTAACAGTCTTGTGGGGAGATGAAGAGGTGAAGGTGGGGTGAGAAAGAGAACACACACACTCACGCACACACACACACCATGCAAAATACTCTCAGGTAGTTGACTGTGGTATATCCACATGAATGAGCATTATCCAACCATTAAAAAGACTATCTCTAGGATCTATAATTTAATTGGAAATTCACATTGATTAAGCCCTGGGAGTATCTGCTGTGACCAATGCTATTCTGAATCCTTCCCAGCCACGCGATCACTGCTCACAGTTTCTCAGTGGGAATGCTCCTGCTATTACCCCCATGATCGTTGACAAAACAAAGTATTATATATTTAAACACTTGACCAACTTCTCACAACTAAACAGTGGTGGAACCTGGACTCAGGCGAGGATTGAAACCCAGTTCATGCTTGTAATCTGGTCATGTGCTTGTCTCTTTCAGCACAAGTATCTCTACACACATGCCTCCTAAATTCCATCAGTGCCCTTGCCTGTAGTAATGAGGAGTGGTGGGCCACCTGCATCCCGCCACCCGGCTCCCAGCTGCTTGGCTAGCTTAGCCCCCAAAATAATTATACAGAAACTGTATTCATTTAAACACTGCATGGCCCATTATATCGAACCTCTTCTTGGCTAACTCTCACATCTTGCTTTAACCCATATCTAGTAATCTGTGTATCACCACAGGGTCGTGGCTTACCGGGAAAGATTCTAACCTATGTCCATCTTGGGTTGGAGAATCATATCTCGTAATCTGTGTATCACTATGGGGTTATGGCTTACAGGGAAGATTCTAACCTATGTCTGTCTCAGGTTGGAGAATCATGACCTCTGCCTGACTTTGCTCTTCTTCCCAGCATCCTGTTCTGTCTACTCTGCCTACCTAATTTTCTGCCCTATCAAAAGGCCAAGGCAGTCTCTTTATTCAACCAATGAAAGCAACACATAGAAAGAAGACCCTCCTACACTTGCCACTAGCTTTAAGAAGTGGCTTAGAATATCTTTCTCCTAGTCATCTCTCTCCTAAGGACATTTTAGTTCCACAGCCACCCAGGGTGTAGTCATGTCTCCACACGGAGTAAAAGTTTTCTGTTCTTTGTCTTTGAACAGGTATTTCCTCCTTCAGTGGATAATCCCTGGGTTAAAACCACCATTTTTGCCAAGCTTTGGTGGCATACACCTTTAATTCTAGCACTTTGGAGGCAAAAGCAGGCAGATCTCTCTGTGTTCCAAGGCCTGTCTGATCTATAAAAAAAAAAAAAAAAAAGGTCCAGGAAAGCAAGAGCTGTTATGCAGAAAAAATGTCTGGAAAAATGAAACAAACAAGAACAAAAGAACAACCCACAGCTGTCTTCATGGATCATCTCTGGAAGAATCTACTACAGGAAACTGAGAGTCATCATTGCTTCTAGGGATTTTGTCTTGGAGGGTCAGAAGTAGGAGACCTCATATTGAGTTACTTTCATTTAAAAAAAGAATAGGGAAGAAAAGAACCCAGCTGACATCCCCCTCCCTGTTTATTTGGGCAGGCCACTGCATAGACACACTAATCAGCCTCTGGGTCTTCATGCAAGGGAAGCAACCAACTTCTGATCCAGGATGGATATGTTTGCCTAAATCCCTTCTGAGTCTGTTAGAGTGAAATCTATGTCCCATTTCCTCTGTGTCTCGCTGGATGAAGACTCCAGGAGGTCTAGCAGCGTGTTTTGGGAAATGGGGAGTGATGGAAAAGTGAACCAGAGGGGGGTGAGAACCTTTGTCTAGGCTCTAACCTTTGCTATTTCCACTGACACAGGCGTCCAGTCCCCATCTGAATCAATAAGGGGAGTGGAAACCGGCAATAAACAACAGACAAGGGACTGCCGTCCTATTAGGTGAGCTCAGTGCTTCGACCTTGTGAGGCTGGAGCTTATAGTGTGTGCAAGTTACCTGTCCAGGCACCCTCAACCACATCCATCAGTTTCTTAGCTACAGAAATGTTCAAACTTTCCACCTGAAAGTAGTTGACTCTGCATAATTAAATTGATGGTAAATTAATAGGGGGAAAAACCCAATTCCACTAAGTATTTGTGTGTGTGTGTGTGTGTGTGTGTGTGTGTGATGGAAAATATGAAAATTTAAGAGTGGTCAGATACTTGAGGCATTAATGCCTCTGTGAAGATGAGGGGAAGCAGGAAAAGCTGTACCAACTCTTGTAGTAGCAATAGTTTCTAGAAGACAGACTGCTGTTAGAGGCAGTGTCCTGGCACCAAGCTGCTTTCGTCTTTCTTCTGTGGTAGGAGCTGGACCTTTGTGGGTTAAGTGTGAGCAGCAAGCCCGGAGGATGGGAGGATGGCTGCTTTGCTTTGACAGGTTTGCTCTGTGGGTTGTTACCTGAACTTCTGGGAAAACCTTTCCCTGAGTTTTCTCTTCCCTATTTGCTCTCAGTCTCAAGTTCTAAGTATCTGTTCCATGTATTGTTTTCTGAGTCCAAACAGAGGGTAACAAGAAAGAGCATCCTGGAACTGAGCCACAAAGGAATAAGGTTTTCAGATCCATGGCGAAGGAAGCCCTTTCTATACAGCCATAAAGAAAACAGTAAACATACTGGCAATTTTCCTCAGGAGACTCAAGATGACTTTCCTTACTAGCTAGTCAATATATCATATATACTAGTTTGCATATTTTATGAAATAATAGAATAATTTGTACAAGGCAATACTATACTGTATTTATTTAATGTGTTTGAATGCCCGGTATACTGTTCTAGCTAGAGAGAGGTATGGACATGCAGCAGTCCAGTAAGGGCCTAGCCTGACAGAGAACTGGTAATTGAGTGGGGGCGAGGTGACATATATGACAAGGAGGTAAAGACTGTAAGTCATTTCAGATCATGTAAGCTATCCTGTTGTTCTAGAAACACACCGATGCAAGCCCTGGGCACATGCAGGAGCGCATGCAGTGACCCCAACCCTAAGTGACACTTTGCATTTGAGGATATTTCAGCAGGGAACAGAACAAAATTTCATGGATTTCTAACAAAATGTCTCAAACTAACGATTGGACCAACTGTCAGTCTTAATATCATGATCTAAGACTGAGTCTTTTACAAAAGATGCCTTGTATAATTTTTTAGAGACTTATGTACTTTGTGTGTGCACTGGAGTAAACGTTGTTTGTGTGTGCTGCGTATGTGCAGGTTCCTGTGGAGGCCAGGAGAGACCCCTGGGACTGGAGTCACAGCCAACGTGGACTGCTAGAAGTGAGGGCTGGGAATTGAACTTGGGCTATACAGAAATGCAGCGGGTGCTCTTATTCACTGAGTGATTTCTCCGGCCCCTAGGCTATATTGTTTGATTTTCAGGACAATGCAGTAGGGCTATGATGTCCATCTAGCTCATCCTCCACATCAAAGAGGGATGAGATCATTATGAATGTGAAGTTACGGATCAGTTGGTATCAAGGACCGTAGGCCCCAACATAGAAACTATCTTTCCCTATCTGGATGGGTATGGAGGCACGGGAAATAACCAGACACAGTTCACACAGTCATCATGGAAGGGCGTCTCAGGCTTCTCTTCATCCTGAAGATCTACTGCGGCGTTTATTCTACAAAACATCTGTTATCTCCCAGGTAAACCAAGGAGGAAGCTCGTTAATATTCTCTTTCCCTGGGACATGGGGCAAGGGAAGCACCTGCAACTTAGTCACCGGCTTAGCAAACACCTCTTCCCAGACAATCTACATTTTTAACAAAGGAGAAAGGAGCAACATCTTGGCCTTTGTCAGGCTGCTGTCTTACTTGTTTGGAAGGGTTGCACCTGTTTAGTGGCCAGTGCGCCTGCCTGTAAATTCTTTTATATGAAATATGGGCTCACAAGTTGGCCTTGAAATTGAGGAAATACCCAGGTTATACCGATGAGCCCAATGTAAACACAATTAAAGCAGAAGAGATCCCATGTGAGATGAGCTTGACCTATCATTCACAGATAGACAAGAAAGGCCAAGAGCCAAAAAATATAGGCAATCCTTAAAACTTGCAATTGACAAAGAAGTTGGTTCTTCAGGAAATACACACACACACACACACACACACACACACACACACACACATATATCCTTTGTAAATATATGTGACATTAACAATGGTGCCTGATGTTGGATGGCTACTAATGGTACTTGGTGTTGGGGTGGTTCAGATCTTTCAAGATACTTTCCATAAAATTATCTCACTGAACCCTAACGGCTCCAGGGAGTAAACCGTGGGCTTCTCAGAATTCCCCCGCCTGCCCCACACCGTCTGCCAGCCCTGTGTCTGTCATCTCACTGCTCCCTGTTCCTTCCTTGAGAGGAGTCAGTTTTGTGCAGAGGGAGGCAAGAGCACAGAGTGTGGATCCAGGTATTGAACTCCATCCTTGTCTTATTGAATATATATATTCCTCTTGCCCCTCAAATTCTAGCACCTCCATAGGACCTCCAGCTTGCAGAAGTGTAGACACTGTGGGTTAAGCCACTAAGTTTGGAGTAATTTGCTTGGCAGCAAGTGAACACTGCAGGTGGAGATAATTATTTTAATTTATGTAGACGAAGAGTTGGAGAGATACTTAGGGAATTTCCCAGGATCACCCTGCCTGCTCCCAGTGGTGAAAGTCAGGTCTGACTTGAACCTAATACACCCGAATGCTCAGAATGTACACGATTCATTTACACGTAAGACCCATGAGAGTGTTTACCAGTGCCTAAAGAAAGCGTGTACTGTTGAGCCCCCGACACAGAGGTCTGACCACGGGTTCCACCCGAGGCAATCGTCAGTGTGGAGAATGTGTTCCCCATGAGCAAGTATGGGGCCACGCTGATAAACGTGGTGGAAACATATTCCTACAACCGTGACATTTGAATACAAGTCACAGGATCATTGCGATAGCAAGGCTAACAAATGACATGTCAGGCAGGCAGTCATTCTTACACATCTTGCCAGACACTGGATATGTGAAATTCCAAAATAAAACCACTGTGCGGACCAATCGGACGAAAACCTGATTGACAAAAATTAAAGGAGTAGCAATGAGCCAGGCCAGTTTACAGGAAAGAAGGTAGCTGTAAATTGTGACAGCAGTTTGGTATTTGCTTTCCTTGGGTTCACCAAATGAACACAGGAGCAGATGAGGGGTCAAGGGACAGTGGCTCCAGGAAGCGGGAAGAGGACACTCAGTCCATGGGAGCCTGGGAGTGGAGCTCACAGCATCGGTTAAACCCTCAGAGGCTGTAAAGGTCAAGCAATTGGTCCATGGACAGCCAAAGGCCTGAAGGCAACATCTCTAGCACTAGGAAGCCTTTTAGGCTTGTGAGTGTCCACAGTTGTCCTTCCTCCATAAGCCGGAGCACAGACAAGGGCGACTTAATCCTTTAAAGTCACTGCTTTACTAGACTTCATCTCAGAGAAACCAATTCTTCCAGGAAGGCAGTTCAGCTTTGCTCTATGATCTTGGCCTTCATCTTATTTATTATTTGCAGGGGTGAGTCGCCATTTGGAATAGGAGACTCCACGGCTACCCTTGGAAAGAGGTGCTGGTAGCCGGTGCCGAGAACACTTAACTAAAGCATTAAGTACTAAAACCAGGTAATGCAGAATACTCAGCTGTTGTGGGAATTCCTTTCTGCCAATAGGTTTTTGGGTATCAGCCTTAGGGTGTGGCTTCTCTGTGCGGATGCGATCTCTTATAATGGAAAAGAAGGAAAAGACGGGTCTCTCTTGCCTTCTTGGGAGGTTGGAGCAGAAGCAAGCTTGTGCTGTAGTTCACATCTCTTGGGGCAGAGCGGCGGGACATGGCGGCTTCCACCTTGTCCTGTTTTTTGTGCGCCTATTTCCCTTTCAATCCCATTTTCTTTTGTATCCACATAATAAGGACAATTTGTAACTCTCTCATGAGCTCTTGCTTTACTTAGCTAAGTACTACAACCAGGAAAGCCATTTTCTTGAAACTCCATTTCAAGCAGGTCACATAATTAATATTATTAGTTCAGCTGGGCCTTCAGCAGTCCTAAAGATGGAATTGATTTCTTCAGTGAATGCAGAATGAACTTGTCCATGGCAGCACATGGTTCTGACTGCAGCTTGGTTTCCAGCTACAGGAGATGAGTGTCCTTACAGTAGGTCCCAAGAAACACTTGAGAGTCTGTGTCTTTGTTGATTGCAACTTTGTCTAATAAGCCAAGCACGGAAGATGTACAGAATCCTAGGTTCTAGAAAGTCTAGAACGGTGATTAGATCAAGTTGTTCTGGATACTCGCTTCTCCATAACCTTCAGTAATACCAGTTTTATCCCCTTCTGAGTCAGTACAAAATAGTTTTGTGTTGTTTGTGAGCATTGTCTAGGACAGCACACAGAGGGTTCAGGGAGGTTCCTGCCCAGAGCAACACTCAGCAGATAGTAATTAGAAACCATTTTTGTTAGTCAAGGAGCTCACAAAGATTCTGCTACTCCATGACTGCCTCGGGCATCACTTTTCCTGAGCTGTCAGGCAGGAAGAGCACCGGCACCTTTAGTCTAGCGTTGTGGTTAAATGTGGATTTTGTCCAGTGGCCAGCACACTGGGCATGCCCAATGTTAGCTACTGCTGTGCAGGCGTTATCAAAATCACACTGCACATTAGAGCCAAAGTCAAATATGTGCATTAAGTAGACTCAGGAGTTAGTAGAAAAACCACCTTTTAGAGATGTGAAAAAGGGAATTTATATTAGTCTTTTTTTCTGGGCCTCAAGTTGATTGTCCTAGGTAATGTGACAATATCTCTAGTGACCATTGATGTCTTTGCAGATCTGACCATTGCATGCCTCTGGCTTCACAGCGTCCAACTATCAACACCTGAGATAACATCTGGATTTTTCTCCATTAGCCATAGCCTCGGCATGGGGTGACCCAATGGGCTGGAGAAGGGGTCATATCTTTCAAGCAGCCCTGGCTCCTTCCCCCTCAGTGGGGCTGCTGCACTGACTTCCATGTTCTATGATGGAATAAAACCTGGCCACAGCAGTTATCCAGAATGAAGGTTTTTAGCAACTTCTCTATGGTCTTTGCTGTCATTTCTGAAGTCCTTATTTGCCTATGAATATTTTTAACTTGGGGTCTCCTCCTGGAGGAATTCAACTTAAGACACTTGATACCACATGAAATCCTGGATGCTACAGCTATTGTAAAACACAGAATACTCTCTATAAATGACGATTTGTGCTTGGGTCAGCATGTGGGGCCCCCAAACAGATGTCTACCTGAGTCATTGCTGAAAGATACTAGGGTCCTCTTACTTACCTCTTATATTAACTCTGGCCTTCACATTATTATTTGGGAACTAGTGGGGAGGCATACTGTGTCATCTTCCTCTGGCATTCTGATAATTATCTGAATTTATCTCATTTCATTATCTGTATGTGTACCTTTGGACCAATACTAAGCTATCAGCTCACAAGTACAGGGGTCAGCTCTATCTTCTTTAGATCAAATCTCTCTGAAATCTAAGGGTGTAGTACCCACAGCTGTGCTTGGCATGAGCAGGAGATCAGGAAACATTGATGAATGAATGAACCTATCTCAGTGTGGGAGTTTGAATGTAATTGGCTCCCATAATCTCTTAGGGAGTGGCACTATTAGGAAGAATGGCTTTTTCAGAGTGGGTATGGCCTTGTAGAGGAAGTGTGTTATTATGGGGGCGGGCTTTGAGGTTTCCTATGCTCAGAAACCCAGTGTCTCAGTTGACTTCCTGTGGCCTGCAAGATGAAGGACTCTCAGTCAGCTACTACTCCAGCACCACACCTGTCTGTATACCCCATGCTCTCCAACATGATGATAGAGTAAGTAAGCCTCTGAAACTAAGCAAGCAACTTCAGTTAAATGTCTACTTTATAAGAGTTGCTGTGGGGTCGGCGAGATGGTCCAGCTGTTAAACGTTAGGCTCACAACCCAAAACAGAAGAGTTGCTGTGGTCCTGGTGTCTCTTCACAGCAATAAAGACCTTAACTAAGACTCTCAGCATTCCCATTTATTAGAAGTTGAAATATTAATATAGGATCCCAAGAATTCATCTCCCAGCTTCTCCTAAGATTGACCCTGTACATATTACAATGTTAAAGCCTGGAAGTTGCTAGAGGAGAAATGGTATTGGGTCCTTGCTGGTTGCAGGAAATGATGTACTTCCTGGTCTCTTAGAATGGGATCTCTTCTTATGTCCAAGATCTTTCATAGTCTTGCCTTTCACAACGCCTCAGCTCTGGTGTCTTTCTCTTCCCTTGCATGCCCTACTATCACTAGACCTGATATTAGTTGTCCTGAATTTAAAGGCACTGAGTGCTTCCGCGTGCCCACCTCAGGGTCCCAGGCACACTTGCCTCTGATCGGATATGTTCCCCTAAACCTAGGTCTTCCTTCAAGTCTCTGCTTCAGATCATCTTCTGAGAGATGCCCTTGCTGACTTCCCATTCCCTTTCCCCTTCCCCTTGTTTCTTTTATCTGCAGCATCAATCAAAGTTATTCTTCCTTATTTTATGTGTTGACTTGCTTATTATCTGAGTCTTCTAATCTTGAGATGAACTCCAAAGGTTCAAGCAACCGTAATTTCCTCAGCTCAGTACAGTGAGAAATTCGGTCTGTAACAATCTCAGCCTTGCACCAGTTCAAGTAGGTTTTGATCTCATCATATAATTTAGCTTTGCCAGCCAATCATCGGACAGAACTGAGTGTCATACAATTCATTAGCTTTTCCCACATGCAACCAGATAATCTCTTGTCTCCAACCCTCGGGGTAAACATTTGCAGTCCAGTTTCATTGGCTGAGTAATTGCAGTAATGGCGGTGACCAAGGAAGTAGGCGCTTTGATGCTTTATATTGCTGTCTCATGGTGAACCCATGATACCAACCACAGTCTGAAGGATGGATAGTGCCTGCTTGATGTAGGTGGGCCTTCTGTCTATGTGTTCTTTTCATTGGTTAATAAAGAGACTGCCTTGACCCTTTGATAGGACAGAAAATTAGGTAGGTGGAGTAAACAGAACAGAATTCTGGGAAGAGGGCAATGAGGCAGACGCCATGGAGCCAGCCACCAGGTCAAACATGTTGAATCTTTCCTGGTAAGCCACCAACTCATGGTGCTACACAGATTATTAGAAATGGGTTAATCAAGATGTGAGAGTTAGCCAGTAACTAACTCTCTAGAGATAATAGGCCAGGCAGTGTTTAAATGAATACAATTTGTGTGTTGTTATTTCCGGGGCTAAGCTAGCTGTACGGGGAGCCGTGTGGGTTGAAAAGCAGTCCTGTCCGCAGCTCCTCATTACACCTGCTCATGTTGACATGACCTCCATCACGCAGGCACCTCCGAGGGTCTCTTTTTTCCTTCTCTATGTTCACTTCTCCAGGAATTGAAGGCGTTCATGGAAGGATTTATGTCCGGGTCCTATCTCTGGCCCATAGTCTGAAGTGTTTAATGTTTACTGGCAGGTGCTCCTCTCATGTAAACTCACCTTAAGTGGGCAGATTCCCCCAGTGGGGGTCACCAGTGGGTAGCTTTTACAACCCTACTTCTTCTGTACATCAGAGTATCTTTCACAATTTTCTTAAAAAGTTAATTTTGTGTGGGGGAGGGTCACATATCTCCACGAACATACATGTGGAGGATGAAGGGCAGCTTCAGGTAGCCATCTACCTTGGGCGTTTTGTTTGTTTTGCTTTTTCACCTTGCTTTTTGAGGCCACCGTCCTACTAGGCGAGGCTGACTGGTCACAGAACCTGGGTGCACCCTGATGTCCCACTTGCCACATGCATTCTGGGAACTGAACTCTGGTCTGTGTACAAGCAGCTACTGGCTGAGTTACACCCAATCTGGCTTCCTATTTCTTGATGAAAAAATTCCAGAGCAATGTGGCTCTGAGGTTGTGATGGACCAAACTTCCCCTGCCTTCATCAGCAACACGAAGAATACACCTTTTTATTGACACTGCTGCTTTTTTATTTCTTTCTTTTACCTTGTTTTGTTTTCCCGTTCGCCACCCTGGCTGGCTTCCTAGAATCCCTGCCCCCCTCAAGCAAGCTGCTTCTGTCTGGGGCTCCGGTTTACCAGGTCCCACCTCCAGACATTGCATGCCATGTGCTGGGAATTGCTATAGTTCCTTTGAATGACTTACCTTTTCCCCTAAAAACAATCTTCGGGGTTTGTACCCCAAGCCGCAAGATAGAGATGGGGCAACCGAAAGAATCAGACCTTAAGGGTCTTCCCAGGCACGTTGGTGACCTCCCACGTGCCCAAGGTGCCCAAGGTGATCCCTATAGCCTTAGCTTCCTTCTGCTTCCAGACTGGCGGTGCCTGGAGATTGTGGCTATGAAAGCGACACAGAACTTTGTGGAGAAGTCGCTTGGGAAGAAAACAGAGTCACAAGAGTGGCAGGGAGGGAATCCTAACTTAGGCGGTCTGATCACTGGGTCCACCCTTCCTACCTGCGCACTTCAACTCTCCAAGGAAGAGAGCAAGTTGGCATCTGGAGACTCCACACTCAATCTTGGTGGTCCTAGGCCTCCCGACTACACCAATTATCCCTTGCTTTTTCTTTCTCCACAAAGGACAAATCTTTGTCTGTTTCCTGAAACCCAGTGGACTAAGCCAGTTTAGTTAAATCCCTGTTTGATAATAAAGGCAGCATTTTACCGTGACCCTGCAGTGGACTGTGAAAGCATGTCTGTAATCTCAATCAGGGAATTCTGTTTGTCAGAGCCCCAAAGGGCTTTGGACCTGTGACAGTCTCTCAAGGTGGGGTCTGAGCTTTGGAGAGCTCATGACTATGTATGAAGAAGAGGTCACTTTCTCCTCCTATACTGGGCAGAAGGTAGAAGTCTCCAGCTAGGAGCCTGAAGAAAACAGGGCAGAGCAGGCGTGGGCCTGTGGCAGTCAGCCGCACCTCTCACTCACTGTGGAGCATGTGATGTCAGCCTTTAGGGGCTAAGCTTTTCTTCCCAAGTACCAGGAAGGCTTTCCTCTCAGGTCCTCTTGTACCTCATTATCCACACAATAGTTTCTGATATCATTCCAAAAACTCTTTTCAAAGTACTCTCATAGTGTCACCCCCCCAACCCCCGCCGGCTAAAATATTCTTTCAAGTACCTTCATTAAGTTTCTTTCAGATAAAGATAGAAGTCCTAATTGTGGCCTCCAAGTAGCTTTTACCCCTGTATGCATAGGCAGGTTTGCCTTTTGTGAATCATCCCCCAGTCTCTGCGCTTTGGCAACCCTGTCTATTCCTCTTGCCTCCTCCTGTCAGAACTCAAACCTGCCTGGCTCTACTCCGCGGTGGGATGCTTCCTTCTGCCCTGGCCTCGTAATGTTGGGTGGTGCTCAAGCCTGAAGCTCCTTCACTTTTCTCCCTGACAAGCTCAGATAGATGCTTCTGGGGAAGACTGGGCCCCATCACATACATTATAACAAGGGTGAGACTATCTTAACCCAGTTCTGTTCTAATAGAATGCAGACTTCTTATTCTAGAGCCTGTTTCTGCCTTTTTAAACCAGTATTCCTTCCTTGACTGGAGCAGTGAGAAGTGCTTGGGTGGTCAGACTAGGCCAGAGGTTAACTAAACAAAGACTGCTGGGTCAGGAAGCAGTAGTCGGGGAGGGGGCAGGAGAGAGGACTAAGGATGCTAGAAGCATTGCATTTAACCTTTATTCTCTCCCTATTAAGGCCAACAAGGCCCCCAGAGTTGTGGTTCTTCATTGTTCAGCCAGGTTGTATGCAACGACTTTATTGAGGTCAAAGAGATATCACAATACAGATTTATCCAACAGGATTTAAGAATCTGGTTACAGACAGCATTTGAGACACAGGCTATTTTGTGCTAAACAGCTTCCAATGTCACAGATTACAGAAAGAATTTTTACACCAGTTATGACTATCTAGAAACACATATGCTTAGCTTGCCCTGCCTGTTGGGCCTTGTTTCAATTGAATTAGCACGAAGAAATAAAGATCGGCGTTTCCTTGATAATGAATAATGTTCTGGACAGCCTTTCATGAGGAGATAGAGTGGCATAGGGAAGCCATTCAATATATGGGTTATACACAAACCTAAATAAATAATTCTGTCAAGCTATAACTTGGTATTTCTAATAATTGAATTGAGCAACATATTAGCTTTAAAAATAAACAAAGTCAGATGTTTGGCTGGTCACGTAGGACTATAGAGCACTTTTCTTAGCATTACTTAAACTGTGAGGTTTAAAGATACATCTCTGGGTGCTAAGAAAATGCCACTCTACAAGCATAGGGTCATTGTGCCTTATCACTCCTGGCTTACAGGGTAAGAGCCACAAAACGCCATAGGAAGTAACAAGAATCTAAATACATACTTAAGGAAATCAGATAAATACTGGGCAGTTACCATACAGAATACTGACTATCTACAAACAGAGAAACCCTCCAGACCTTAACTCTAATGCATTCCGAACTTAGGTAAAGTCAGAAAGACAAACTCGCAAAGTCTACAAAGTAGTGCATACATGTCTTCAAATACCCACTTAACAAACTCATGATGCAAACTGAAAAATCTTTAGAAATACAGTCAGATGTTTATTAAGTGAGAAAGTACTTATTCATGCATTACATCATATAAACATTGTTTCATCAAGTGAAAACAGTACAGAATAATTACCTAAACATATTTAAAGTCCTAAAGGGTCTAAACTAAAAAACATTAACACATGCATGTTGTAGCTTACCAAATAGTCTTCTAGAAATCGTTAAAATGTCTCTTGCATCCAAACACATAGAAAAACTCAATACTACTCAAGTTATTTATGCACGTTACATATTAGAGATGTTAAGCTACAAAATGCTTCCACTATTTCAACATACATACAAAATGACCACAAAATTATGTGTGTATATAGCAAGGTACTTTCTAATTATCCAACTGTGATGAATAATGTATCTTCTCCTCATGACATCTTGTCTCTAAGTACCATTTATCACCACCCAGGCCTTTCTGTCTTAATGAGGACTACAGATCTCTGATTTACACTCAACATTCTTTGCATTAATAATTGATTGTAACTCTTAAAAAGAAAACCCTCTGCGACTGAAATGAAAGGTGGTGAGGCTCTCGCCAGAAGAATTTGGGTGATACTGGGTTATATTTGATTGTTAAAGGAAGTGGGGCCTGTGGACTGTTGGCCAAACTCATCGGAAGATGGCCCCAGACTCGCCTGCTGGCCATAGCCACCGCTTGACCCATAGCTGTCTTGGTTGTACCCTCCCTGGTTATAGGTGCTAGAGTGCTTCTCCATGGGGTCGGAAAGGTATCTCTGTCCGGAGGAATGCCAGCCGGTCTCCTTGAAGACAAACCAAATGTTGCCGGCCCAGAGGATAAAGTTCAAAAACCCAAAGACCTGAAGGAGAATCAGAGCAAGAGGTTAAAAGACTGGACAGAAACGCTAGAAGATTCTATTTACAGCAATTCTCCACAGTGCCGTAGGTGATCCTGCACTTTAATTTTGAAGTTTATTTAATTTTTTCATTCAAAAACACCATTTGATGTAGGATTTCGAAATACTTTCTATATGCCAGGCACTACATGAATGGTTTTTATATATTGATCCACCTGGTCTAAAAGACCAGTATTACTCTACATTATATGTCTATATTAAAAATGTGGAAACAAGGAAAATTATCTGATTCAAAGTCACACTACAGATTACAAGCAATGGCAATCCACCTCTCACAGACCAGATAGACTCCAGATAAGTACTGTCAATCAACAGCCCCTTTCCCCATTTGCTTATTCTTGAGGGGGTAGGAATGTCCTCTTTCCTTGGTCTTCGGACTTCCCTCCCCTAGCTACCAGCACCGTGTACCTGGAAGTTTCAAATATAAACCTAAGGTGACAAAAACCTTTTGTCTCTATTTTCTGACTCTAATGTGAATCGGTTCCAACAGATTTCCAACCAAATAAAGACTGCAAATTGTCCCCGCTGCTGCCTGCGCAACCCTAGCTCCCGAAGGTCCTACAGAACTTGAAAAGCAAGCGAAGCATCTGCCTTTCCTGGACTTGGCTAAAGTTCCAGCATTTTAGGTCCCCAGCAATGCCACAATGTCAGCAGGCAATAGTCATAGATGATTTTGTCGTCATCCATTATCATTGGTTTTCAGCAAAAGACTGGGCTGTTAAGTTTCAAACCCAGAACAAAGGCCTGAGTGTCTGTTTAACAATTTAACATATCAGAGCTGGACCTGGCTGTCAGATTCTCCCAGCATCCCTCAGTCCTCAGTCTCTACCTGTGGCAGAGAATGACTCACATACCTTGCCCTCTACACTGAACTCTCCAGCCTAGGAGCTAGGCTGCACTTGAACAATGTATAGTTACTAATTGTATAAATTCTTCTCACGATGCTACCAGTTACATTGTAATCAGATAGCCTCCAGAGGTACTTTTGCCAGTTAATCTTAGCCAACCCTGGTAGGATGGTCTTGGAGTTTAGGCTGTGGAAGAGATTTCTAATGCTCTTAGTAGGCTGTTTTACTGGACATTACCACTCTCAGTATTATGAGAGCTGCCACAGCGCCAACAAGCTCCTTAGTACAACAGGTACACACGTAGTGTTGATGTTAATTAATTATGTAAGAAGACTTCTTTGACCTTGGTTCTGAAAGGACAGACAGAAAGCTTGAAGATAGGGCTAACGCTCTGGAGGAAGCAGTCTGATTCATAGCGAATCAAACTCAAAACCCCAAGGGCAGACTTCCCACCTCTGACTGTTCACATTTTAGATGGGTTTGTGCCATTCCTCTCCCCGTAGCTCCTCAGAGGTTCCGTGGCCTCAAGTTCAGACTCAACTTCGGGTCCTGTGGAATCATCCTGATTTCCTTATGAATTTACAGGCCTTACGTAATCAAATTGCTGCAATTAAGTCATGCTAAATTACAATCTCTCTCAGCTTCTAAGGTGATGGAAAGATTTATAAATTCCTTAAATTCCTTTGTGACTGGAAAAGCCTTTCAGTCATTTATTAGCAGTTTGGGCATTATTCTAACCGTTGTGCTCTCCCCCATCCTTCTGGCCAGCCTCTGGCCGCTGACACGCCCCAGTAGGTATCTTCAACATGATGTCTAAATTAAAAAACCAGAAAGGGGGAGGTGGTGCGCACCTCATGGAGGCCACTGCCGCCTGACAAAGTTCCGGCATTGCGGTTCCCAATTCCCCAGCACCCTCTTCCATTCGTTTTTATTAACTCTCATACGGAAATTCCCAAATGTCTTTTCCTTGGGGAGATTTTGTATGGGCTTTAAAGGATGACAATGTGTAAACGGGTGGCCCTCCTTAATCATCACTATGGAAAGCATGCTGGCTGTACACAGGAATCCCACTGTGCCCTGCTGGCTACACCCAGAACAGAAAAGTCAGAGATTACTAACCAGACACAACTGACCCCGAGGAAGAACTGCCTACAGTCCAGTTCCCCAGCCCGAGGTCATTAAGGGCCAGAGTTCAGCTACTAGGTACAGAGAAATCACAATGGCATGGTTTAATACGGAAGAGCAAGACATCAGGACCTTCCATTTAGAAAGCATATGAGTGGAATAGGCCCACACAGTAAGACCAAGGCACAAAGGGATGCAATTAAGGAACAACTCAGTACTCACGCTGCCTTGTGCCACTGGAGGAATAAAAATTGTTCTTAAATTGTAGTGGCGTGTCTGGTCCCCACGGAAGTCCTTTTTTCCCCAAGGCCAGGCATTTGGGAAAGGGCCGCCATTTCCTCAGGAGCTTGAGGGAAGTTTCTGCTTGCTATAAGCAACTATTCTCCTGATCTCTGACAGGAGGAACTTGTGGTTCTTATATTTATGTAAGAGAGCTCCTGGTGGAGCTACCAAATGTTTGAGAACAACAGGCATTTAGGTACTTGCTGAACTTAATGTTTTGTCTCAGGAAAGATGCTGTAGTGAAATTAATGTCCGCTTTTTGTCCCTGAATTATTGAGCCAGCTTTCAACCTTGCCTGAGGCTAAACTATTGAGTAAAATAAAGGCAGAACCTTTCTTTTCAATAAATGCTGCTGGCAGCCGTCCGAATTCATCCTCAGATCCTGTCTGCCTTCTCCACCCCTGCTGACTCGACACATCTTCTCCGGGACCTCAGCAAGACGTGAATCCTAAAATCAGATTCTGAACGGAGTGCAGGATACAGAAGAGTGGAAAATTTTGTAAGAAATAGGTGTGAGGTTTTCCTATGGGAATCTCCCCTTCTCATGAAAGGACCTGTGCTGCTTCGCCGGGGCCAGTTATTTGATGGAAGGAAGCAAGACTTTATCAATGCAAGTGATAAAAAGGAGGAGTTCTCTGATATATCTCTTGTTCAATGATTGACTAGAGAAGGGACAGTCTATTTTAACAACTCTGTTGGGGAACGGCAACAACAGCATGGTACAAACGGGTGACATTAGTGTATATTTGGTCATTATTCTAGCATGACACTGGCAGTTTAGATGACTTTTTGGTTAGTTTGGAGTGTTGAGTGCATGCGTGTGTGTAGGGGGTTAGAGAGTAATGCTGGTGTCCTCAACATGTGGGGTCTTAAGGGTATGGTCCAAGGGTGTTACAAAAGTCATTACTATCTTAACAGCAGGTATGTTAAAGCACCGCCTGCACAGCAAGCTGAATGAAGGTAACATTTCTGTCTTGGGGGACAGTTGAGAGTATTCAAGTGGATATGCAGAGTGGACACATCAGTGAACATTAAATGATAAATCACGGTTTCACTCCTGTTCTACAGTTGTTCACGCAGTATGTGCAGTTGAGTGTCACCGTCGAGTGTGTGAGGACGTGCTCTTCAGAAATGACATCAGAGTAGGCGGCTAGCTGACGTAACTGAAACGGATTTACCCAGAACCCTTTGCTCTCTGCCTCTCCCTCTTCTCCCCTCTTGGTTTCCCATCGCAAATTCTTTTTTCTTTTAACCTTAATATAGAGCCTTAGGTGATTTGTCAAGGGAGATATGAAACATAAATAAGTAATGTATAATAGTTGCTTAATCAAAATGAGTTAGGCAACCACTAATGAAATTTATACACAGGGCATTTATATCATGTGTCCAGTAATTAGGATATGTTCCATTAAAAGAGAGATCTTGGCTTAATTCTACCACTGTAAGTATATGCCAATATACGTATCAAAGAATTATGAAATGATATCTTCTGATATGAAGGAATGGCTCTGTTCAGGGATGTGATTTTATCTGTTTGATTGTCTTGATTATTTCCTATTTATTTGCTACTACTCGGTGTTTAAAAAAGTTCCAACTTAAAATTAAGAGGACAAAGCATCACTCCAGGAGCATGCAAGGAACACTGGCTTTCTGTCACTATCAGCACAGAGGAAGCCCAAATCCATGTTGTTTGACACATTTAGGAACACGTACATGAGTCTTCAAAGGACAGAATTTGATTCAAGCTCTGATGCAGGAGCCCCCTCTGTGTGCTGTGATTACCACTAGTGAATAAAGAAACACCTTTGGACCTGTAGCAAGGCAGAATTTAGCTAGGCAGGGAAAATATAGGCTGAATGCTGGGAGGGAGAAGGTGGAGTCGGAGGGATGCCATGGATGTGCCACCAGAGACGGACGTGCTGAAACTTTGTTGGTAGGCCATGACCTCATGGTGATACACGTATTAATGGAGATAGGTTAGATTAAGATGTCAGAGTTAGCCAATCATAAGCTAGAACTAATGGGTCAAGAAGTGATTTAATACAGTTTCTGTGTGATTATTCCAGGTCTAAGCTAGTCGGGTGGCTGGGACCAAACAAACGACCTCCACCCAACAAAACTCAGATGTGAAGACATCAGAAAGAGGGTATACAACTATATGTGGGAAAGAATTGAAAGTTAAAATGTGGGCGTCTATAAAGGTGATGATTGATTTCCCTGAAGTAAAGCTGGAAAAGCAGAAGTAGAAATGGCAGACAAAGCATAGTTATATTTAGTAAAGGATGGATAAAAACTGGGATATTACAGCATCTTCCCCCTAATATAGAAAAAGTGAGCACCCCAAGTAAGGTAACCCATAATAAGCACTCCTACAGATTGGGCAGCATGCTAAGTGTTTTCCCCATGGAATGCCTTCTCTCAGCAGTTTCAAAGTCTGTGCATAACTGTCTCCAGTTTTCAGATGGTGGCATGGAGGTTTGACAGGCTTGTTGTTCATATACCTCCTCTAGACTGCTGCCCAGTGGGGCCAGGACTCCTTCCTGAAGACCACTCCAGCACTGTGCCTTTAGCTCTTTGGAGTAGTAACCGCATTGGGAGAGTTTGGGTTCGGTTCTACCATTAATGTGCTTAAACCCAGAATCTTTTTCCAGAATCCTTATGAGCATCTTCCTGCCTCTGAAATGTCTAGATACCTTGCTTTATTTTAGGGCTACTGTGAAGTCACAAATGGCAAAGAACATTTTTTTTTTACCACCGTAGAGAATCTGTTGTTTCTTGACTGTTTTTCTTGCAGAGATCACACATGGTAGTAAGTGTATGTTTCCTTCTTCAGAGCTTGCCCCGGCCCAGGAGGGTGAGTTCTGTGAGTCATGTATTGACTGCACAATCCCTAAAGCCTATAGCCTACAATTAATGAGACTGCGGTGGACACCTGACTCTGGAAGGGTTAGTGGGATGCTCTCAAGTAAACATTCAGGCATTTGTGACTGGATCTGAGTGAGGTAAGTTCAGTCTAAGTGCCCCCCTTTAAAAATATTTATTTGTTTATTATTTCTCTCTCTCTCTCTCTCTCTCTCTCTCTCTCTCTCTCTCTCTGTGTGTGTGTGTGTGTGTGTGTGTGTGTGTGTTTGTGTGTGTGTACTTGCACACATATACCATGGTATGCACGTGGAAGTCAGGACAATTTTGTGGAGTCTGTTCTCTCTTTTCTTTTTCTGAGTTTTGGGGATAAGGGTGATCAAGCTCAGGCAGTGAGTCCCTGTAACCCACTGAGCCCTCTCACTGGCCAAAGATGTTTCTTTGAAAAGAAACACGCAATGAGAAACTGAAGGTACCTACCTTCTCCCATATACACCAGAAAATAATTAAAACTCTATTTGGAGAAGGAGAGTCACAAGACAGGCAGCGCCTTTAACAGATGCATACACAAGCGTAAAAGGTTTGAATTTGAAAGGCCCGGTCTCTTGACTATCTTCCAGTTTCCAGCCCTGGATTCTACTCTAGGGTACGCTTCCAGCTTTTCTAATTATTTTTGGGTTTTGCTTGAGCTAGCTCAATGCGACTTGAAGGTGAGCCGACTTTTAATTCAAAAACCTGTGTTGACTGATTAATATCTTTTCCTTGCAACAGTAATACACAATTCCCTTTTCCTTGCAGTGTGATGCTTTAGCCCAAGCACTTGAGGTCCGTCCTGGGACTTTTCCCGCTGGAGGAGAAAAGTGGGAGGTTAGGTAAGAGCCACACCACTCAGCAACTCAGAGAGACAATAGTTTAGTTATCTGACATTGGGAGTTGAGGAGTGGCTCTAGAATCTTCCGTTCCCATCTCTTCAGATCTCAGCGGGTCCATGGTATCTCTCCAGAAACTATCTTTTCATGGTGACATTGGAGCCAGTTTCTATTTCCAGTGCAGATATCTGAATGAGTCCAGACACTAGTCCCAGACAAGGGTCTAAAGAACATGGTAAGCTTCGCTGAAGTCGGTCTGAATGAACTCTTAGAACTGCCAGAGGCTTGGCTGTCAGGGACACAGGGACAACCCAGCAGGTCTTTCCTTCCACACTTTCACATTGCTGTGAGAGTTAGGAGAACTTGTATTCTTCATCTCTAAGTCCTACCTCCCACTCTAAACTTCATTAGAACATGAGGAATGACAAGGCCATGTGGAATGTCACAACTAACTGGTGCATGGATTGTCAAGCTAGCAGTTGGCAAATAGCATTTACTTGATTGGTTAAGCATGTCAAGCAATTTAATATTTTTCTCTTAGATTTTAAGAGATCAGTCACAATCATGTCTTCAGCTCTGCCTATAAAGCAGCTACAGAAATTACTATCGATGTGAATACACACTCACAAGTTGCCACTCACAAGTGTGGACAACAAGATGTAAGAATGTTGGCAAGATCCTGGGCATAGTTAATTTCTGTGGTTACTGCTGCACCAAGGCAAGATTTAAGGAAAAATCAGGAGGTATGGAGCACCCCTTCCCCTCTTTGTGGCCCCCTTCCCTGACTGAATTTCAGGAAGCTGCAGGGACACAGGTTAACTTTGGAGCCACAGTTCTTCACGTTTGCTGGAGAGTGTTCTTTGAGTGAACGTGGCTGAGGCTCCCACACCGCAGTAAATTCTTCTCTTTGCTGACATCCTAGCTTGTCTTTATCTTATGCAGCTTCCTTCTGTGGAGCAGCACAATTGCTTACACATATAAATTAGGAATACAATTTAGCCTCTCTCCGACTGTTAGTATTCGTCCTTTCCTGTAAGGCCCATACCCTTGATGAGACAATATTTGATTTTGTTCAGCTAATTTAGTGCATCTTTTCTAGGACTACCAAGCAGCTAAACTGGAGGTGGGAGAAGATACACAATTATTCTAAGTACGTTTTCAAGCCGTGCATTTCCTCTTGTTCCCGACTAAGTCTGCATATTTTTCTCCAACAGATTTGCTATATTCCATGTGTGGCTTTAATAAAATGTTTTCCTTCCTTCCAGGAAACATCTGAGTTAACAAATATTCTATTTTAACTTCTGGCAGGCTTCAGCCTTAACATTTAGGTTTTATATCAGCTCTGGCTTAGGAATTTTCACTTGACTGTAAGCTAAGCCACAGCTGCTAATAACTGCTGGGATTTTATTAAAAACTGTAATCAGCAGCATGGCAGTGTGTAGCTTTTGACGATGAAAATCTTGAAGGCTCAAATATCATCTTCCCTGTCAGTGAGATTTTCCTCTTTTGATTGGCCTAGTTTTGGAGGCAGAAATGTCCAGAGTGGCTTTGGAGGTGTTTTTCTTAATCACTGGCCATCAAGTAAAGACTTGAGAAGGCAAGTCCGAATGAAGAAATACTTACCACAGACGTGTTTAAGCTGGACATGACAGGGCTGTGAACAGCCATGCATTTGTTGGAGGGCTGCTTGCAAGCGGACATCAGTAACAAGACTTCCTTTGGGTCAGTCGCCTCTTTGACATCAGACAGTCCTTTTGCCCAAGCAGATGAACCGACCAGCCACAGAAACGAAAAGACCACAGTGACAATAAAATCCTGCACAGACAGGAGACCAGAAAACACAAACAAACAACAGCTGTGAGTTCCAGAAACAAATATATTAATTTATGCAAGTACTGCTTTTTTTGGAAAATTCTAAGATTCCATAGCATTAAGACTTAGAGATACTCCAAAATAAATAAATCAATAAACAAATAAAGTTTATTGATACTGTATTTATACTTACGTGAGATAAATTATTATATTGTTATTTAGTTTTGTTTTTTGAAGCATGGTCTCTCTTTGTAGTCCAGGTTTTCTTGGAACACCCTTATGTGGAGTAGGCTGGGCTGGAACTCACAGAGATCTTCCAAATTCTGTCTCCCAGTGCTGGGATTAAAGGCATGCACCATGACACCTAACTATATTGATATTTACTGAAAGCCTGCTCTACTTCATTATCAGCAATGAACTCAAGAACTTTATAATCCTTATCTTATTGTTCCGCTGTGGTGATATTTTGTTTGTGATCTAACAAATACAGCTTACCTGAGGTTCAGAGTGCAGAGCTTGCCATTAGTTAGCCATAGAGACCAGGAAATGGTGGCACACACCTTTAATTCCAGTACTTGGGAGACAGAGGCAGATAGACCTCTGTGAGTTCATGACCACCCTGCACTATGATTGATCCAGTATCAAAGAGAAACAGCTAGGTGGTGGTGGCTCACACCTTTAATCCTAGTATTTGGGAGTCACAAGTCACAAGTCTTTAATCCCAACACTAGGGAGATAGAGACAGGAAGGAATATATCTGGGCGGAGAGAGGACTATAAGATGGGAGAAGATAGGAGCTCCAGGCATTCTGTCTGAGGACTTGTAGAGACAGGATACCCCATTCAGTCAGAATTTCATAGAGGTAAGAACTAGTGGGTGCCTGCTCTGATTCTTTGATCTCTCAGCTTTCACTCTCTCATCTCTGACTCCGGGTTTTTATTATTAACACCAATTAGAAATTGTGCTACATTCCCCCAAAGCATCCCATTTGCATTTGGTAAAATAAGTCAGAGATGGTTGAAGCGCACCTGAGCCTCTACATGTAATGATAGGCATTCTATGTGTAATGAGAAGCATTCTACATGTAATGATAGGCATTCTACATGTAATGATAGGCATTCTACATGTAATGATGATAGGCATTCTACATGTAATGATAGGTATTCTAACTACTGACCCTAAGTTCTTGCTGTGCTGTGATGGTTTTAAACACTTAGAGACATTTTCCTATTGCCAAAGACTCCTAGGTGCCAATATTTATTAACTCATTTATTTGTTAATTTAACAGACACAGATACTATCTATTTTATGCCTGAACTGAGTTAGTTAGAACAGTACTAGCTGTTGTAGTTTTGCTTACTATGGACTTAAAGTTATGTTTGCAATAATCATGTTATATTGTGTTTTTGGTTTTGTTTTGAGACAGGGTCTCTCTTTGTAGTCCTAGCTGTCCTGGAACTCATTTTGTAGACCAGATTGGCCTCAAACTCACCGAGATCTATCTGCCTATGCCTCAAAGAGTGCTGAGATTAAAGACATGCACCACCATGCCCTGGCTATACTGTATTTTTATACCCATTTTAAAGACAACGAAACTGAGGTCCAAGGCAACACATAAAAATAGCAGAACAAGGTCTACCTAGCCATGAAAACTACCCGCTCTGTCTGCAGGGAGCGGAAGCTCTTTCACCGCTACCAAGCACATGTCTAAGGCCTAAGAGTGTTGCTATTTAGGAGAAAGGTCTCCACAGCCAGCGAGATGGCTTGGTGGGAAAAGAAACTTACTATCAAGCTCGATGAGGTGAGTGATGCCCGGACCTCCACAGTGGAAGGAAAGAACTGACTCCTGCATGTTAGCCTCTGAGCTTCATGGGTTTGCTGCTATGTGTGAATGTAAACCTGGCGTGCATACATGCGCGCTTGTGGGTACGTGCACACACATGTGTGCATGCACAACACACACGCACATACACAAATAAGCAAGTGTAATTTCAAAAATTAAAAAAAGAAAATAGAGGAATGCCTCTGAGCTTCTAATAGGGTATTTCTTACATCCTCTTTGGCAGGGGGTGTGGGGGCAGGTGGGATTGCTAACCCTAGACTGTTTTGACCCAAGAGAGCAAATCTTAGCCCTACTCTACTGATGTGTTTTTATTTAAATACACAATATTTGTTTACCCAAAATAATAAGGGTCGACCTTGAAAGGAAACCAGCAAATGTGAAACACCCACAGGGAAAACTGCTGTTTTTTTTCTCCCATGGGGCATGGTGTTAATATTCAGGCATCTGTACTGGCCTGACCTGGGGGTGTACATCCTCAGCTGTAGTCACTAAGAGCACTTTAAGAGCACATTCACTAAGCTCCCTTCTAAAAGGGCTCTGCCCACCTCCTGTATATCTCTCCCTCCCTCCCTCCCTTCCTCCCTCCTTCCCTCTTTCTCTCTTTTAAATTGCACCACATGGTGTATTCTGCTTTCACTGCCCCGCACTCAGGCATACCTGCATGACTTTTCATTAAGAAGCGCATGACCTGCGTTGGGGAAGCCATGACACTCTAAATGATGATATTCTTTTGGATCCAGCGGCTGCTGTGAGTTATATAGCTCACTGGTTTCCATTACAATGTTAAGCTCAACAATGTTTAGGGTCAAAATGCGATCCATTCACAGGGCCTCTATGGCATGGGGTCCTCCCTATTCCTGTTTTCTACTTCCGTACTTCTTCCTTATGTCCTTCTCATAGCTCATCATTTTCACTTCAAGTTGTATGTACACTTGTAAGCTGTCTGAAATATTTCTGGACAAATGCAGGCGTTTAAAGTGCAGGCATACAGATACGATGTCCACGGCCGTCTCAGCATTAATAATGCAATTCACACCTAGCAACTAGGTGTGATCTGAGTGTGTCAAATCTCCACTTTCTGTTCATGCCCAGTCTGTCACCTTAGCCCATTCTTCATTATTCGGGCAGTTTATGAATTCACACTTATGTATTTATAGATCAGTAAGTCTAAAATAAGGGACACCAAGGTCAAGTAAAGGTGTTGATAGGGTCACAGGTCTTTTGGTAGGCTCTAGGGAGAACCCGCCATCTTCTCCTTGTTCATTAAAACCAACCATTTTTGCTGCTCGTGGTCTTTGTCCAAGGAGCAATGGCTAGCCTTCTTCCCAACATGGCATCTCTCTGACAGTGACTCCCCAGCCTTCCTTTTCCCCTTTGAGGCCTCATGGTTACATTTTACGGTCTCACTAGTTTAAAACTCTCTCAGAAATCTTAGTTCTCTCTGCAGTGTTAATCTCCTCTTGCCATGCCATATGATATAGTCACAAGTTCCAAGGATGAGGATGAGGGCATCTTTGCAGGGCCATTATGCCACCTACGAAGTTGGAAGTGTTTTTAATCCAAAGATTAGTTGGGGGAAGAATTGACATTTTAATGATGTTACATCTTCCAAGGAGTGAATACGTAGTGTCTGATTTCATTCATGTATTCATATAGTATGGTTTGGGTAAGATGCAAAAGTCTTGAGGACACTCTTAGTGGAGGAGACAAGAACATCAAGGGCTGTGCCCTTCACTGTTACATATTCATTAGGGCCCATAGTTATCATATAGCTCCAAGTAGAGGACAGTACTTTTCTTTATTTATACTCATTACAATTAGAGACAGGCTTCTTAAATATGCCAGTAGGGTATAGGAAAAAAATAGGATTCTGTCCATTTAGCAGAATAATAGTAGCAGGTTTTCTCTTAGGGTCTATGATCTGTCTAGCCATGGGTTCTTGGCTTGATCATGGCATAGATTTCATTTTGTGGAACAGGCTTTAAATACAATCAGAAAGTGTTTGGGCATTCCCATGATGCCCATGGTACTTGTGCACCAGCGGCCATGTCTTGCCAGGCCAAACATTGTTGTAGTTCACAGGATTCCTTATTGGGTTATTTTGTTAGTTACTTTTCTCCTGAAGTCCTGGGCATAGCATCCATGAAATCTCTTCAAGTAGGGTAAAGCCTCTAGGTCAGCACCTTTTGACTTCGTGTTCTATGATAACTCAAGTTTTATGAAATTCTCAAAGAATTGATAAACACATCAGTATAGAATTCCATGAGACCTTTCAATTGGATAATGGAGAAAATTATGCCAAACTAATATTTATTGAGCACTTACTATGCACTGTGTTAGTTCAGATTTATCTGGATTAACTCAGTCCTGATAAAAGCATGATGAAACACATGCTAATCTTGTTCTCATTTTGTAATTGAGGAAACTGACGTGCCAGGATGTTAAATAAATTACCTGAAGCCTGAATTAATTGATAGGGGATCCAGAATTCTAAGCCCAGCCATCTGTCTCCAGGGTCTGTGTGTTTGACTGCAATATGCTTCATCTAACGTCTACTTTCAAAAGAGCTTCCTACCTAAAACAAATGGATTTAAAAAAGTTCTCAAGGGCCAGTGACTTGACTCAGGAAAGATACCGTCTACCAAGACTGATGACCTTCTAGAGTCTGATTGCCAGAAGCCATGTGGTGGGAGGAGGGAGAGAATTGACTTTTATAGTAAGCTGTCCTCTGGCTTTCATGGGTGCATTGTAGGGTGCCTGTGCACATGTGCACGTACGCGCGCACACACACATTAAATAAATAAATAAATAAATAAATAAATAAATGGAAAAAGGATATATTGAAACTTTTTTTTTCAAAAGATTTGAAATTCTGCTTAGTTTAAGTTAGTGAAACACAAATTAACTTCCTTACTGAACTCAGGGATCTGTGTCACTGGACTAAATACTGTGCTTTAGGGACCTGATCTGACATCTTATCTTTCTAGGGGTACACTGTACAGGAGGTGCAGCATAATTTATCTCCTGCGTAAGTTAAAAGCTCAGCCCTGGCACTGGACAGATCCAGGTTTGAATCCTTAATCTTAAACTTTCACGTTCTTGGGAAATTTCCTAGACTTCCTAAGGCCTCAGTTTACCCCTGTAGGTGGAAATACGAGCA